GTGTCAGCCGGTGTTCAGCGCGGGTGCTCAGCCTGGTGACTGTGCCCAGAGCCTGGTGTCTTCTGGCCTGCTGGGGAAAAAGGTGTCTAGAGCACGCTGCTGATCTCGTGTGTGAGTTATTCACTGTGTGACGAGTAAGGCCCTTAAATCTGCAGAATTATGCGTGTGAATAAATGCAGTTGTCACTCTTGGAGTCTAGAGAGCCAATAACTGGGGTCCTCATCCGTGTGATGGCACTTGAACGTGATTCCTTTGGCCGGTGAATGCACGGCTGGGCCGGGCGGGTGCTGTCCGCAGCCCGACCCCCCGGGCAGGGCTGCCTGTGTGGAGCATCAGCGTGTGAAGTGGCGCTGGGTACATTCTTGCTCACAGTCAGCCCTTGTCTCTTCCTTTTCAGCGGCGATCGTGGAAGGCTCCAGATGACCGGACGGCCATGATCAAACCCCTGCGGCGTCTCAAGCAGGAGCCAGAGGATGACCTGCCAGAAGCACCTCCCAGGTCCAAGGACAGCGACCAGTCACGGTCCAGCTCGCCCACTGCAGGTCCCAGCACGGAGGGCGCCGAGCCCAGGGACAAGAAGAAGTTCAAGATGAGACGGAAAAGGCGGCTCCCCAATAAAGAACTGAGCAAGGAGCTCAGCAAGGAGCTCAACCAGGAGATCCAAAAAACCGAGAACAGCCTTGCCAATGAGAATCACCAACCCATCAAATCTGAACCTGAGAGCGAGAACGAGGAACCCAAACGTGCTTTGAACAACAGCGAGAGACTCCATAGGTTCAGCAAAGGGTTAAACGGGACTCCCCGGGACCTGAGGCACCAGCTCATCCCCAGCCTGCGGAGCACACCTCGGGGAATAACCCGGCCACCACCTTCGCTCTCTCCTCCCAAATGCATCCAGATGGAACGGCACGTTATCCGGCCGCCTCCCATCAGCCCCCCTCCGGACTCGCTCCCCCTGGATGATGGGGCGGCCCACGTGATGCAGAGGGAAGTCTGGATGGCTGTCTTTAGCTACCTCAGTCATAGGGACTTGTGCATCTGTATGAGAGTTTGCAAGACCTGGAACAGATGGTAAGGAGGGCGGGAAGCCGAGCAAGGCCTAACGTGCACTGGGATGGGCTGGAGAGGGAAGTAGGGGATGGAGGTAGTAATGCCTCTGAGACAAGGTGTGTGGGTCCCGGCCAGAGCTCTGTTGAGCCCGAGGAGAAGGGGCGACCAGCAGCTTGTAGAGAAGTAGCATGGCTCCTGGTGCCTGCTCAGAAACAGCCGTTCCCAGCGTTTCTGATGGGAACTCTGTGTGTGTCAGTGTGGCGTCAGCTCGCCGGGGCTGTAATGCCCCAGAGCAGCCTGTTCTGTAGTTAGACACCACAATGTTCTCTGCCAGTCTGGGTCATGCTAAGTCTCGGTGTCATTCTGCCCCCAGACCTCGCTGGTGGCTGATGCGGTTGTTTGTTCCGTTATTAAGTATCTGTTGAGATACACTGAAGATCTCCCAGTGCCCTCAGTGTTCTCCTTGGAAGGTCTGCACTGATTGCTTCCCTGCAGAGGGTACACGGAGAACGCTCCCATCCCCTTCGCTGCGCTGTGCCAGCAGCGCCGATGGCGGAATCCGTCATTGTCTGTGTTTGCTCGCAGCGTGTCCTTGGGTGCTCTGGGTCCCTGAGTGCGGACACGGACACTCGGTGACCGTAGGGCGGCAGGAGGCGTTCGTGGACAGGTCTGCGTGTTGCACCGAACTTGCAGTGAAGCCCTTGCTGGCTGTGGGCTGGGGCTGAGCTGCAGTGTGCACGCAGATGGGCGCATCCCAACGGAGACTCCTTCCTGGCACAGCCAAGTAACAGGCTGGGGGAATGACAGAAAGGTTGGGAAGTCGGTGCAAGGTGTGTGGAGTGCCTCCTCCGTGGGCCTCTGGGTGTCACAGAAAGCTGGCAAATGCCTTTTCCACGTCAGCGCAGTGTTTTCTGACGAATGCAGAATCTTGCACACTCGTCAGGACTTCTTGAGAACCATACAGAGAGTGTAAAACCATGTAGTCTGCGTAGACAGGGATAATGTGAAAGCATCAAACAGGAGGGGGAAGTCTGTTTCACAAAATTCCTTGGGTTTAAGTAAGGGAAGCACAGGGGAAGTCAGGACAGTGATATTTAAAACCATCCTTGGTATTCAAAGGGTAAGCGAGAAGGTGTGGCTTGTCTTCAGGCTAGAAAACGCATTTCAGTAAGTGCTGTGATGACTGAAAATGGGATCTGAAGTTGCTGACACTTGGAATTATTTCCACAGAATTCCATACTTTATTGCATAATATATTTGATGGAGAAACTTCAAACCCACTCAACACTGTTGTTGCCCTTATCTTCACATCGCTTGGCCTTTTGTGCTGTTTTCAGTGAAACGCTGTAGTTTTCCCTACTGTTTAATGACACTTTTGAAGTCTTGCTGGAATCAAAACAAGTGCTGGATTAAGTGCTGTTGGCTTTTTTTTTTTTTCCCTTTTTGGGTAGGTGCTGTGACAAAAGATTATGGACCAAAATAGATCTAAACCATTGTAAATCCATCACTCCACTTATGCTCAGCGGCATTATTCGGAGACAGCCTGTAACCCTCGATCTTAGCTGGACGAATATATCCAAAAAGCAGCTGAGTTGGCTTATCAACAGACTGCCAGGTAAGTGATGGGTCTGACCGCCCTGCTGGTTCTACCAGAGCATGTCTGCGGCATCGCGGTGTCCTAGGGGAGGAGTAGATCCGTAGGGGTGAAGCATTCAGCGGGTCCCGTGTCAGTGATGTTGTGACCACCTGACACGCCGGGTAAACTGATCTGAGGCAGGTGACGTTGCTGTGGAGAGTGCCTGCGCCCCGGGGAGGAGGGGTGGGGGTAGGGGGCTGCTCCCACCAAGGCAGTGAAGTTCCAGATGCAGTGGAGAGCTGGGCAGAAGGATGTTTATGGGGTCCCTGCTCGCTCGGGAGCACCAGGATCGTTCCCCAGAGCGGCGCTGGGCTTCGCCCAACCTGCGCACCATCAGAGATCAGGGCGGGTGTCTCTGGGCCGGCCACACACTCCAACTTCTTCTGTATCTGCAGGTCTTCGAGACCTGCTGCTGTCAGGGTGCTCGTGGATAGCAGTGTCGGCACTTTGTAGTTCCAGTTGTCCTTTACTCCGAACTCTGGATGTGCAGTGGGCAGAAGGACTGAAAGACGCACAAATGAGAGACCTCTTGTCGCCACCCACGGATAACCGGCCAGGTAACCGGCGGGAGGGGCACGCGGGAGAGCTGTCCCGGCCGTCCTGTGCCGTGTTCTGCTGCTAGTCCCCTTCGGAGGAAGCGGGCAGGCACCCCGCAGCCAGTGCCAGCGGGCTCTGGGCGAGGTGTTCAGGTAGCGACTTGCAGCACCTCCTCGCCGGGAGCCCCGGGGTGCCGAGGGATGCTCTCTGGCTGCTGAGCGGTCGTCTGAGCCACTGTGCTGGTTGTCTGTCTGACTTTCTTCTCTTCAGGCTGCAGCGGGTGTACTTTAGAGAGTATGGAAACCCTTTCTTCCAGTTCAGGGAAGGAGCAGTGCTGTGGGGCATGCCACATTCGCCCGGATATCAGCTCAGGTGAAATTTTGAGCAAATCAGATCTGCTTTCTGGCATGCACTGCACAGCCTCCTGCTTATCCCTGACGTGTAATTCCGCTGGGCCCCTGCAGTTACTTTCCTCCCTTTTGTTTTGAAATCAGGAGGTGGCTTTGTCCACGTGCCTGTGCCAAAACCAGACAAGGCTTCCCGCTGACGTCCCCTCCAAAGCTCCAGACCCGCCGCAGCGTCTGAAGTTGACTTAGGGCAGCAGCGTTGTGTGTCCCAGTGCGTTCCGTATCGATCCGCTGATGCTTGCGACCCGGGGCGAGACACTGGGGAGTGACCTGCTGCCTCTGCTTTCCAGGTCAGATCGACAACCGGAGTAAGCTGCGGAACATCGTTGAGCTGCGCTTGGCCGGCCTGGATATTACCGACGCGTCTTTGCGGCTGATCATACGGCACATGCCGCTGCTCTCCAAACTCAATCTCAGTTACTGTAATCACGTGACAGATCAGTCCATTAACCTGCTGACCGCGGTCGGAACCACCACGCGGGATTCGTTAACGGAAATTAATTTATCAGGTAAGCAGCAGGGGAGGGGGGAGGATGGGGCCTGCCCGTTGGTGAAACCCTCGTGGGTGGAAGAGGTTTTACCCAGCTCTTCCGCCGCCCCTTCCCAGGGCTCCCTTGGGGCAGCTGGTGGGAGAAACCCTTCCCTGTGCCCGCCACCAGCCGCCTCCCCCTTAGGAGCCACGTCCTGTACCTCGCTCCTCCTCCCCGGGGCTTTCCAGCGGCGCCGGCGCCGGGCGTGATCTCATGGGTTACACGAGGGGGGCGCGGGGGCCAGAGAACGGGGCTGCTGGGGCGCCAACAGCCACGCTGCTGAACGTCTCCCCGTTGGTTTCTGTGGTTCTTCCCTGGCAGACTGCAATAAGGTTACTGACCAGTGCCTGTCTTACTTCAAACGCTGCGGAAACATCTGCCAGATCGACCTGAGGTACTGCAAGCAGGTGACGAAGGAGGGCTGCGAGCAGTTCATCGCGGAAATGTCAGTAAGTGTTCAGTTCGGGCAAGTGGAGGAAAAACTTCTGCAAAAACTGAGTTAGTTAAAGGACACCTGTAAATACTGGGGCGGGGGGGAAGGGACTAAGAACACGTAGGGATTTTATTTTCAATTGGGAACTTGGAATATTGGAAAAATACGGCGATTGGATTTTACAACTCTTGTCGAGAACAACATGAAACCACCCGTGTTAGGAATCTCAACTTGTGCCACTAATTCCGTCTGCCTGGGGTGTCTGCACTGGCCCTTGCGCACGTTCGTAAGGCGACTGTTACTGGTGAGAATTGTTCACGCCCGGAAGACGACTGATCTCCAAGAAATCCTGTTATTTAACGTACCACAGCATGTGCTTGGTAGTGTACATTTGATTTCTGCTTTTCATTTCTTAAAACACCACCGCCACAACAGCCGGTGTCATTAGGAGTGGACCACGCCCTGCATTTCTGCCTTCTTAACACGTTTGTTTCGTTACATCTTACATTATGCAGAACTATTTTTGTACAAAAATTGTTTAAAAATTATTTATGCAATGTTTGAATGCATTTACCAGTGTTTCGGTTTCGATTGCCAATTTTTATCTTTACTTATGGTAGGCGAGAACTTAACCTATACTTCGTAGACAGTATCTATCTACCAACGTGCCCAGGTCAGGAAAAGTAGGTAAATACTTTCACCTTCAAGCATGTTTTAATGGAAGTTTATATCCTGCTTTGTATACTTCAGAAGTGACATAAGCATGTTGTGGAAATAAGGTGTAAATTATAGTTGAAGTAAAACACTTTGCCAAGTTTTATCTGTATAGAAATCACCTTTTTTCTCAAAATTTAAAAAAAAAAGTTCCAATTCCAGCTTTTGCACATAGGAGGGTTTCACTCTGTAGCATGAGCTCTTGTACTCAATATAAAATTAATTTATACCGTGAGTCCAGCCGTAGAATAAATGGTCAAACGTAGTCGCTCTTTCTTTGAAGTGTGAGTTGAGTTCTCATTTAAGGTTTAGAACATGGTTATTTCCTGATTGTAAAATTCTGCATTCATAAGTGCCATTGTTGTACGGTGTTGTTTTCGTAGACCTTCCTGATGCAGTTTTACCTTTGTTGAATTTGTATAAACGATTGTACAAAAAGAGGCACTGGCTCTGTGGCTTTCTGTCCCGAGGCGGGGGCTCCGGGGGTGCTGGAGGGGCTGCGCTGAGCAGCTGACAGCCCCCTCAGCAGCACTCGTCTGGCCGGTGCTGGCGTGTTCCCACACCTTCTCGGAGAGGAGGGAACAACATACAGACCCTCCTCCAGCTGGAAGCTGCCTGGGTTAGTCTAGAGGAACCGTGCCCTCTCCAGTGTTTAACCACAGCGTAAGAAAGAGACCAGAGGCCGCGAAAGCCCATCACAAATCTTTATTAAGCTGCATGGCTAACGAGCAGCGTGGACATAAGAGCCAGGGTATGCTTCCCCCACCAGCTTTTAACCACTGACCAGAGCCTCCTGCAATTAAGGACTGTTAAGAAGTTACTTCTAAAAATTAAAGCCATTGAGAGGTTTGCTCCCTTCTGAAAAATAACCAGCAGGTTTCAGTTTGAGGAGGAGCTTTGTTTTCCCATGAGACAGGAGCAGGAGTGACAGCAGAGCTGAGCCTTCTCCAGCGCTGCAGCCCAGGCCCATCTCCCCACCTGCCTTACGCTGCTGGCACATAGAGAGCAACAGGAGAAACTCCGTCTTCACTGACCACCCCTCTGTGAAGGACAGCCATCCCGGACAGGCTAGGTCCTTCCTCACCTCTTTACGGTGACCTTGGACACTGTCCTGGCCACAGCCAGCCGGTCCCAGCACAAGGCCCAGGTCCCCCCCGGTGTCTGTCACAGTCGCCCTACAAGGACCCTTCCGTACCCTGCTGCTGGCACGAGGCCCAGCTCCAAACTGGAGCCGCGCAGGGAAGGGCGGTTCATAGTGACTCAGACGTGGCTCCAAGTCTGGGAGCAGGAGGGTGTAAACAAATACGATGTTTCCCTCCCCCGACCCCTCCCCCGTTAAGGTTAGTAACATGGTACATTCCACAGGTCAGCAGCAAGTAGTTTCGTGACCCTGATGGGTATTCACAGTAACGTCAGGCTGTCGGCACGCGGCGTACAATCATCACACGTAAGAGTAACAGCTGCGACGGGCCTGAGTGGATTAAGGACCACACCAACCCCCCTTTTTAAAAAAATACTCTGTTCCTACACTAAAAACCACTGGAGCGATGGGTATGTGGACACCACGCGGCAGAGCCCTGCGGAGTGGTGGAGCTTTTTGTATGTTTACAGAGACCGGCCAGGACAGCGCACGCCTGAGGACGGACGTTGGGAACGAAGCAATCGGTGTGAACTGGATTGCTGTGCAGGAGGGTAACGGCAGCGCTTGCTGCAGCCCTGTCGATGCTGTTAACACTGTCGCGGGGACGGTGTCGAACAGTTACATTCTATAGTTAGTTAGGCAAAAGCTGAGTATTCAACTGGCAGACTGGTGGCTTCTGACGCGCTAACGCAGCCAGTCGGGTGGTGTCTGACCGCTTGCCGAGTTCTGAAGGCGAGGGTCAGCGGTGAGATTCTTCAGAAGAGAGCAAGAACTGCTGTAAACAGTTCACCGCAACAGTCTGCAGGTGCATGAGGTACGTCAGGCAGCGCTGTCCTGTACGCGCGGGCGTCGGGTCGTACTGCCTGACCCTGCGACTCAGAACACCGTAGGAAAACGCTTCGCAAGCTGCTAGGTCCTGATGTTCCAAACGGTGTGTTTATCGAGAACTAAAAAGCTGGCACGTGCCCCCAGAAATCCTGGCAGGGTAATCCGCGTTTGGGCGTGCCTAGGACTTGAAGACGTGCACGGCCCGCACGACGTACTGTCGGCAGATGGGGCACTCGCTCATCCTCTTGCCGCACTTGGTGCAAGTGACCATGTGGCCGCACTCCAGCAGGACGCAGTCGATGACGGCGTCCATGCAGATCCGACACAGGTTGTCGTCATCCTCATTCAGCTGCATCTTCTCGCCCTCTGAAAACCAACAGAGAGAGAGGTCATGGAAAAGCTGGAAAACCAGGGAAGTTCTAGCCCAGGCAGCCACTAAAGGAAGAGGCACCTCGCCATGGAAACAGGGACCTTGACCAAACCGCTTGAACTTGGTCTTTCGCCAGCGCAGCTTTTAACTGCGCCACAGCGAGGGACCTGAATCGCTCTGGCCTGCTGACAGCTACCGAGCAGCTCTCGCCGATGCTCGTGGAACCGGATAAAGGACGTGGAGGTGCCAGGTGTCACCCTCTCTGAGAAACCAGTTCTCGGCTGTGCAGTTTTCTGTGAAAGCTGAGCGCTCAGCTTTGGAGAAAGGTCTCAAAAGAGCACAGCCCTGGAAAGCCTCATATTTACTCACTACAACCACGTTCAGCTACTCTAGATGCAGCTCGAGGTGTTAAAACATGCTTTCCAGTTGTCCCAGCTGGGCAGACAAGTTAGATACCAAGGCCTGTGGGCAGAACCAGCGACTGGAAACCAGAAAATAAGTAGTCTGAAGCAAGAATTAAATATAAACCTACGTGTCTTGTGGTTTTCCTCGCTCTCTCTGTAGAGCCTGCTCACTTTTTCCACAAGTTCCCATTTTTCACAGCATCCCGAGTAGTTGACGAAGTTACACGCAAGGATTTCCTTCAGCTGCCGAACACTCAATCCTTCAATGTCCTCCAGACTTGAAATATCGGACAGAGATGCCCTCGCTCGCTTTCTGGACAGCCCCGGGGTCTGAAACACATCAACTGTCGGTTTTTACCTGCCCCAGTAAGCTCAGAGCAGCAGCGCTGGTGCTACACTAAGCACTGGCTGGAGTTTTATTCACACGCAGCCGACTCTGAACGACCCAGCGCACAACAGGACACGTTGACAGGAATCTAAACGCGTTGTCCTGTCACATGCCAACAGCTGGCTAGCTCCTCTCTCACCTGCTCTTCCGCACTGTCGTCTTCTTCGTTATTTATAGGAGACGTTTCAGTTGGTCCCTGTGTGCAGAATGAAACTGATCAGGATTAAAAACGTAAAATTACTCCTTCTAAAACAGTTTCTGTTGTCATTGTGCAGCGACGTTCTGAGATTTCAGTTGCAACTCACTGTACCGAGTTACATCACCTCTACCGTCTGGACTAGCCATCCCGCGATCCTGCTTCCAGGTGAGAGACACAGGAGGCATTTTCCCACCACCCTGAACTGCACCAGCTGGCATTTGTGCTGAAGCGGTGCCTACCTATTAAAGCCCAACAGCCTGGGCTCTACCATAAACCCCACGTTAGTTACTGTACCCGTAAAGGTGTTCCGTTTCCTGTGCTCCCCCTTCTGTTTGCAAGCTCTCCTTGGGACGACACCGATACAGACATAGAAAACGGATGAGTAAAAAACCCCGAAGTCTGCGAGCGTGACGAACGCAAGCTGCTAGTGTCCATGTCCTCCTCCGAACCTAACCCGTGGTGGCACAGCACAAGATCCACCAAGTCTTCCTTCTCCCTGCAAGTATCCGTTGGGATGTTTCTGAGAATCAGATACTGACGCAGATCCTTGACTTTCAGTCGCATTAGCTGAGGCCGCTGAAAGGCTGTTTCTTGCAGCAAGTGACAAGTGGAGCATCTTCTGAGATTCTCCTGTAAGACGGAACACACGGAGCAGAAGTCCTTCTTGCAGTCACAACACACATGCTAAGGAGAAAGAGAAAACAGCCGTTCAGGTGCGTGTCCCAGAAGCAGATCCAGACCCTGCTCTTCCCTTCTCCAGGCCACACAGTTTACTAGCAGCACCTTAATTGTCAGTTTTGACCTACTTCGGGTTTAGGGTTTAAGGCTAGAAACCCCCGCCAGATGTGTTCCAGGCAGTCTGCTGCTTTGCAGGCCACTGTAAGATGATCCCAGGTTTCAATGAAAACACATGAATAAACAAACACTGAAGTACCCAAGGTGTAGTTTACACAATAAAGGAAATTGAAAGCCAGAAAATGCTTCTCAATATACAAAGTGTCACTGCTCTTGTCACTTACATAAACAACGGTATAATCCCCAAACTTTTAAGAACATCCTTCTTCCTCCCTTGATTCAGAGAATTCAGAATAGGCCCTAGATGGGGTGAATCCCGTGGGAGGCACATACTCCCAGGTGCCATTTCTGAAAAGCTTTGTTCAAAGGTCTCACTAAGATACACAGAAGCCACAGTGGGCAGTGATTTTAAATGCTCATCTCATCCGCTGTGAACAAATCCCAGCTCTTCGAGTTCTTCAGGATTTTGGTAAATTAATATTGGCTTCAGAAAACACCCCTGCACAGCTTCAACAAAGTGCCTGCCACGTGACCAAGAGGATGCATGGAAGGCAGAAGTGAACATGCAAACGGAAAAAAGTGGCTTTGTGATTACCTGCAAGAGCTGCAGAGAATCGGGTGACTGCAGGGACACAAGAACGATGCTGGACAGTCACAATACATAATACTAACGATCTCAGTTCTGTTTATCTGCGTGAGCCCACCAACCTGCCTCCAAACGCAGCAAGGGGCTGTTGGAGTGTCACGGCATTCAACGGGACAAGGCCGGTTAGGAAACAAACAGAACCACAGGAGTATTTCACAGCAAGCTGCTGTGATACTGTGAGCTGAGCTTTCCCATCACCCCGGTTATTCATTCCGGTACCCAAACCACTACGTTTGGGATCACCTTCAAAACCAGGTTTGTGTTAACGTTCCAACGTTCTGAAGCTAAAACATGGATCTTACGAATTAGAAGCCACTAATTTTTAGGTCAGACCAGATCCAACGTGTCACCGATTAAAGAACATCAGACTTCTTAACTTCTAATCCTGTCTGACACGAATTTCCTGTGACCTCAGAACAAGGCGCTTTCTCCCTCCTGGGTACTCTCTGTCTAAGGAGAACTATGTGTTGGTCTCCCAGTACGCCTACAGAGCAGTTCATAGGAGTAAAAATACTATGGAATAGGAAATACTCACTTTTTTCCTAAAAACGGAAAAGGAAAGCCCACAGGCTTTGCAGACTATGTTAGCGCCCGCCGCAGCCGGAGAAGGGTATGCCGAGAAGTCTGTATTCGGTGCAAATCTGAACGGGCCAGCAGCTCCCCCAAAGCCAGCCTGCTGCCCGCGGACGGCTCCAGTGCCCATGACTTCATTCAGCAGGCCGCAGCAGGAAGCCCACATGGAAGTAGCTCCCGCCTGCAAACATTCACAAGGTAAAAAACCAAGAGAGACAATCAGTGTTTGAAAGCCTCCACCAGATGTGACTTGCTACCGAAGAGCTGCTTTGCTCCATCTGCCACCATCCCAAAAGCACGTGGTGTGAATTCCCAGAGCACCAGGAATTGCGTACACAAACATGTAGAACAGCCCCACGATCTCCGCTTCCCAGCTGCAAACCAAAGTAGGTAAGACTTGCTTCCGCCAGGCCAGCGCCGGCACAAGGGGCTCGCTTCCGTAACTCTTTTTCCAGAAGCCTGGAATGATGACAGGCAGCGACACAACAGTCTGTCGGAATGAGCGCAGAGCTGTGCCTTGCAGGATCTTCTCCAGGACTAACCCAGCTCTTAGATGCCTCACAATAACACTCACTCTAAAAAACGCTTCAGGGTTTTCCAACCTGAAAGCAACAGCCCGATCCTCAGTGGAAACCAACGACAGTTTCGGTTCCCCCTCGCAACCTGCAGGTTTGTTGCCTTACGACACGTCCAACACAAAGTAACTGTAAGTGAACATACTCTACCTTGACTGGATTTCAGCTCTGAGTCACACTATTTAATCTTCAAACACCACCAAAAAAATCTAAACACGTGCATAAATCGCTACTTTTTATCCTGAAAGCCTTCAGAGCTAGATTCTCTTCCAAAAGTGCATGTTACACTGGGAGTTGGAATTTGGACTCCAAGCTGTTCAGGTCACATGTTTAATCACCATCATGCGGTTCACTTAAACCCGCTAAAACCCAAACCGCAGCAGACTTGCGCAGGTTCTCGCTGAACGGAAGCTGCCCCGCACAACTCCCTTCAAACGCTTTTTTCCCCCACTACGCTGGTTCGTGCTGTTTTTCATTCCACGAGAGCATCTTTTTTTCCCCCAAAACGTGAAAACATAAGAGAATTGCTGTTGAGACTTGCAGCTCCTGCTGTTAAACCTAACCCAACGAGAACGTGCCGCTCCGCAGGCGTGACGGAGCGTAAATTCCTGTAGTAACGAGGCTAATTCCTATAGGCAGTTACACATTTTCCCTGAACCGAACACGGTCCTGTTACGTTTCTGGGAGCTTAACACGGAACTGGGGACAGGCCAGCACACCTCCTTTCAAACCACCGAGCACAGACAAGGGCCCTCACTGATGGCCAGAGAAGCTGCAAGAAGCAATGCCATCGGAGCAAACGCCTCCCTGCCCGCGGCACAGGGAGTGGACGTTAAGGTCCCTTCCAACCCCACCCATTCTGGGTTTTACACCACCACCTCCACGGAAGTGCCCTAAGCACGGAGCACCAGAGCATCTCTCCAGCCCACACAAACCCGGTGCTTCCCTTCCAAGCTGACACTGAAAGCGCTGCAGTGGTCATCGTGCTGCCGGGCTGTCCCACGCACCACCGGGCAGTTACCAAACGTACGTGCAACACATTACATTCACAAGGCTGATTTTACAGGTATTTCAAGAGCAAAATTCACCCCAGGCACAGCAAAAACCTCCATGCAGCTGGCACCCCATGCACAGCAGAAAATATTCCTAAGCTCCCTACAAGTGGAGTTCAAGGGGGATGAGCTCCCGTGGCCCTTCCCTGACCTCCAGCCGCCACACTGGCCGCCCCAGCACGTGGCTGCGCTCGCAGGGACACCACGCGCTTGGAGCCCATCTGATGCACCGTCACCGTCGTGAAATCAAACTCTCGGCAAGCTCAGACTTGTTTCCTACTTTTCAACAGTAAGGAGTGGATCAATATTAATTTTCCATGTACAAGGTATGCATAATTATCCTAGTTTATTAGGCAAGAATGCTGAACTTTTTCATCGTTCTGAAAATCAATTACTTAACCCAGCAGAGTTCCAAGTTTTACAGCTTGGGACTGCTGAAAAGTATTTTCACTCACCCTAACGGAAAGTTGCCACTCGCAGAAACAGTACTCTAATTCTTCACGTATTCCTAAAAACTCAGGAGCTAGCTTTACATTTAAAAGATTTAAAAACAGCCACATACAAGTAAGAGGAGAATCAATCAGTGAACCAGAAGGGCCTGTCAGAATTCAACTTCCTTCGTTACACGACTGCGGTCTTTTTAGGGGGTCACGGCAGCAGCACGACACACGGTGATGAGAAGGACATGCTGCCAGCACAAGCCTTGCCTGACAGTTTATCCCCTGCTTCTTAGGCTTACTTTATCCCAGAGCCTGGAACAACCGCTCAGGCGTGGCCCTCAACACTAGACAGATAGGTAGGAAATTTTTGTTACCCATTTTGGATACATGAACACTGTTAGTATCAACCAGAAAACCTCTTCACACTTACTGCCAAGTAGTCATTCATTTTAAGGTGAAGCGTGAGGCAACGTGGGCATCGTTAGTCTTCTCCTTAACCCAAGTCAGCTGGGGATTCTTCCTATGCTCTAGTGTCCTTAACGGATAATTGAATTACAGTGCCTAGACCCTTCGTATCGCTCTGTAAAAGAAACGAGACCGTGCCGAAAAGCACCAACACAAGACACAAACGAGACACGCTAACACAAAAACTCCCTCCCTGGAGAATTAATGAAAACTTGGCCAATTTCTGCACCAAAAGCCTTTCCGAGTACAGCCACCGCTTCCCTCTTCTCGCAAGCCGCCATCAGCAATCTGCTCTCTCCACGCCTTCCGTGCGTCTGCAGCGGCACAGCTCCGTCTCCGCACGCCTCTGCTCCCGTGCTCGCCTTCAAGGGTGTTCGGGACCCCGATGAGACCCTCGCCGCAGCACGA